TTACCACAAGGTGGGTTTCTAGACCATTCCTTCAAAGATGATAAAGTCCAGTTTTATTCCTTGGCACATGCTGAACATACCTTTTCCTTAGGACTAATGATATTGCCAGCTTATATCATTTAGTGACATTTAAACCGAAAAGCACTTGGGGTACTATGCAATGACCAACCTCCTTTGCATCTTAACCCAGGGGGCTTAGTTTCTATTTTCTGTTTAAAGTTCTGCTCAACCCCACTCCACACCTCGCTCTCTTCCACCACCTCCCTTTCTTGCAAGGGCAACACGGTATAACGCTTCTTCCCATGTCTGGCTGCTTTTAAACTTGGCCCACGCTGGGTGCAGCGCTTGAAGTGAGCTTTACAAAATTATTTTAAAGTGAGCTGGGGCGGTTGCCACAGCAACCCACCCTGAGAGAAATCGAGGCTATAGATTAATCTACCCCACAAGACTTATTCAACAGTACTGTATTTGTTCTTCATTCATTCAGAATATTCCCCCAATCCGTAGGCTTTTATAATGAACAAAAGCTATACATTCAAGTAATTTCAAAGAGTATGTATATTCCAAGAACACAGTTTAAATGTTTTGTAAACTACGGCAGAGATCTCAAATGTACAAGATTCCTTGCAAAATCATTTAATTGCAAAAAAAAATTTGCAAGATAGGCACAGCTGACACATGAACTTTAAATAAAATGGCATGCCATTACTAAAACGGTATTATATATATCAAGCAATGATTATAGAAAGCCTTTGTCACAGGTGTACCTGTAAGCACATAATACAGTAGAGTTTGCTCTCCAGGCTTTGCTTTTAGCATTAAATCTGAAAACAATAAATAGTACTTTGTAATATTAAATACAATAAATATTAAACACTCACCACATACACCCTCTTTATTGTCAAAATCATCCGCCTCCAATGCTTTACTTTATCCTTTCCATAGTAGTTACTTCACAGTTTACAATTCTTGTTCGGCACCTTAGATGTTTAAAAGCACAAAAGTAGCATATTATTTAAATGCAAACCTATAGTACTTAAATATATTTAAAGAGATTTATGGAACAATTTCTATAAAAAGAAAATGACTCCTTACTGGTATGCACTTAGGCCTCGAAAAAATATTGCTTGTAAGTAGCTTCAAGTTTTCCAGAGCTGTAATAAACTGACTTGAGGGATGCTGCACTATCAGTAAAAATATGAAACTACTGATTTTTGGATGGTGCTAATTCTCCAACAAGAACTCAGAAAATTATTTCTGCTTTTATGGGCTTTTTTTTTTTT